ACAACTTTTAGATGAACTTTTAAATTAATCTTTACATCTGTCTGTCTGCCAATTAACACTATAAGTTAACAGCCTCTTCTTATATGTTGCTCTTGTACAAGCTTCATGTTTCTTTTTGTTCCCTCCGATTTTAAAGGCAGCATGAAGGGAACTCCTTTTCTACTCCTGAATTACTTCCTCTAAAGAGTTTTATAATCCTTTTTTTCCCCCATTGTCTCTGCCTGACAGCTCTGTTGTTTGGGCCTGTCACTCTGCAGGCTGAAAATGCTCATCAAAGTACTGAAGCCCTCTCTCTTCACCGAGGAATCATTCAGTACTGTTCAAATAGCACAAACTCAAAACAGATGTCATCTCGAGGCACTTAACAAGAAAAACAGACCTGGTTTGTATAGAGAAATATATACAGTTATCAAATGATTTATGTTCATACAGATCCTGTGCAGACTTTCATATTTTGAAAGGTTTTTTATTAAATTAAATATATAATAAATGTAATCATAATATCAGCAACTTTTAAATGCTAGTTTATATAGCTAAAGTATAATATGTATACTTTTACATTCCATTTATATATTTTTTAGACAAAAATAAAACAGTGGAAGAACTTTGCCCCAGAGGCATTTATTACAAATAGCTTTAGCCCGGGGTTCTAATCAATAATACTGCACAATCAACAGAACCAATAACTATTTAATGGCTAACAGCTACTGCCTGTAATGGACCCTCACTGAGCTAAAGTCCTCTGTGTTTAGCATTTGCCTGCTTGTCTGATTCACAAACGCTTCTGATTTGTTTGGATGCCTGCTTCTGTACCCAGCAGGCAGCGGCTTCTAATGGCAAAGCTCTAAAAGTAAGTCAAGTAGCTCTAAAAAGCTCCTTGACTTGCCAGATGCACCAGGTTAGCATGAGAGTGGTAAATTTCCCCTGGGAATCAGCAGAGAGCAAAAACAAAGTGGAGAAAGAAGTGGCTATTGGATTTGCATTCATTAAATGGGCGCAAACCTGACTCAAAACAAACGCTAAGGTTGCTTCTAATCTGCTTGTTTGTTAGTGAGCGACTGGTTCCTAATTGATTCTTTAATGAAGTTATTGTTTCTTTGGTCATTTCTTACGTGATTGCCAATTACTGACAGGAAATCCTAATTTACTGCACTCATCTGTATTGAACAGCTCAAAACCATCATTAAGGAGGAGCTGAAGGGCACTAAATTCACAGACTGAACAAGGGTGCGCACGTGTGAAAGAGACTCGAGGTGTAAAGTGCTCTGAGTGGTCGATAAGACCAGAAGAGGGTTATGTAAATGCATTTACCATATCAAACCCGAGTGGTTCAGGAACTGATTTAATTATTTATGTGTGTGTGTGTTTGTGTAGTGGCCATGTACAGGGAGCCCTCCCTCCACGACCTGACAGAACTCTCGCGTTCCGGCAGCGGCACGCCGACCAAGAGCCGCAGTGCTTCAGCCCTTCTCAACGGCGGAGGCAAGACGCGCAGCAACGACGACCTATCCTAGCCTCTCGACATTCTCACTGATGCTTTTCAAACACGAGTACTCATCCCAACAGGAACAAACACTCACCCACAAACAAACACAGATCTCAGGCCAACATTCCCATCACTTGTGAAAGGTAGGAGGAGTCGAGGTCACAAAGCAGGAAGAACCAGATCTTCCTCTTCTCAGAGCCCACTGTGACTGACTGTGATGTACATAAATCAAGGACAATCAAACCTTTTTGGCTCTACTTGCCCTGGCAATGGAGGGAGGGGGGCTTTGCAGGCTGCTTCCCTCCAATCCTTAACAAGATATTACAGAAAGGGGAGAAAGACAAAGAAAGGACAGACAAGTTCAGTCAGTCACACACTAGGTTCAACAGACTGTTACAGAGAACCAAAGAGTTAAAGTATTACATAACTGGGTTTAAAAGAGGACAGAGAGTTACATGGAGTTGAAAAAGTGGGGAGGACAGTCAATATACAGGTGCATGTCAATAAATTACAGGTTAAAAGGTTTGTTTATTTTCTTCAATAATTCAGGTCCAAGAGTTATAACACAAAATATAAATTTACTGGTTGTTTTAGGTTAATTTCTCAGTCCATTGCATATCATAAAGTTCAATTTAAAGAATAAATGTTAAGTCATTTTTGTGGACCTTTTCTACTTACTTTTTCCTTCTCTTTATTTTCCTGCTATATGATTGGATAAAGCACTCTTTGCACAGCCGGGCTCTTTTTTTT